TTCAGTCCAGCGCACTATCCACTGGGCTAACTGGCCGGCGGATAAAATGACATTATTATAAATAAAAAAACAGATCACGTAAAAAACGACCAAAAGCGAAACAATAAATTTACAAACGGCGCCCCATAAGGTATAATGGTGATCACGCATAAGAACTTAAGCAACTTTCCAAAAAGAAGGGATTTTAGCTTTACTTGGCTAGAAATTTTGCTGATTCGCAATGACATTAGCACGTTAACTATGGCACCACCAACAAGTTAAGCAGCCATGTAAACAAACGATTTCATTTTCAGTCTCTTAATAGTGAAATGATTAAGAGAAAATGACTCGAAGGATGAATTTCAAACTTTACTAAAACTTTTGCGTTACCTTGGAAATTGGAGTCCTCCAAACTTTTCTCCGGAGAACTGGCAGGAAAACACAACTCTGCAAACGTCCTGGAGAAATGCCTATCCACTTCTGTAGCAGGGTCGCCTCGAAAGTATAACAGCACAATACCTCTTGGACTATATTGCGTTTGTGCAAATTCCATTTCTGCTGTTTGCTTGTCCTCTGTAAATCCGTCGTCTGCAGCTGCCGCAAGGTTTGCTGAAGATTCCGTGAAATTCTCATCGTTTACATTGTCCGACTCGTTATGTTGCATTGTTGTGCATAAATTTTGAACAAAATTTCAACTTAAAATTAAAAAACATTTCTCGAAGATTCCTCCAGAAACTGCATGCTAAAGGCGCTTGTAAGATAGCGAGCTGTACCTAATTAGCACCCTCAATGATATGGCCGTGTTAATTTATCAAATTAAATAAAACTTTCTCGTGGGAAATTTGGGCGGGAACTAACATCGTATGTTGCCAGTTTTCGGGCAATTAGTAAATAATCTAATATGACGTCAAAACTGCGTGGAATCATCAAAAAGCGAAAAGCGCCTTCGAGGGAAATATTCGTGAAAATGCCGCCCTTGTGTTAGTGGCTCACTTGGACTATCAGATACTCGAACCGAAACAAAATTGTGCGTTTCGAAAAAAAAATTAAGCCGGCATAGAGGTTTCGTTCTCTATTGCAGAAAACTAAATTGCAGAAGAGTAACCCAAGCTAAAAATATAAAAGATGGGAAGAAGTTAATTCAAGTTCAGTTGGAATGCCTCGGCATAAATATGTAACCCTTTCCCCAAGGTGACCTAAAGCAAGCCCCTTAGGAGAAAATGTGCGAATGTATGCAAGACAATACTGAGGTCTATTTTTCATTCCTTGAAAGGAAAATACCAGCCTCGTTCGCAAGCACCTTGTCCCTGCCCAATTTTCTGATCAAATGAACTATCAAAACCATTCATCGTCAAGAAGTGATCGACGAGTGACCTCGTCTCCGCGCATGCACAGATAGGTGATGAGATTGGACATCCCTGGACTAATGATGAATATGGACAAACCTCCAGTGCAATCAGTTGTTTGAACATCTTTACATCAACCTCCTGACACTTCCGACACATGTTCATTATTTTTTAAAACGGAAGTTTTTACTGCACGACTAATGCAATGACTGTGACAACAGAATTGAGGCAAAAATATCTTCCTTCACAGCGATGAGTTTAAAAATACTTTTGAAGCCTCTCGGGTGTAATCTTAGTATGAGTTCTCTGTTAGTTTATGAAGTCTAATGCTGAGGCTTCCCTTCTTGCCAGAAAATTTCGGAGTTGATCGTTTTCAAGTTTGCACGAGTTCGGATAGTTACCCTCTGCGTCTACACTTGAAACAGTTGTCGATTGGTTTATTCATTTAAGATCCTCTGAAAATCAGCATCTTTTCTAATTTAATTTATTTCCTGTTAAAAAAAAAAAAACCTGCCCGCTGTAAAAAATAGTATGGGGGTAACCCGGTGGAAGTGTTTCACGGACTATCCTTTTATTTGAGTTGTATGTGCCTCTTACAGTTTTTGCTGAAACCTTCAAAAACTTTATTTTAGAAATAAAGAAACAGTAAGTAAATGTATATCTTAAAAAAAAAACACTGCTCCCTAGTTTCCTCGGCAGAGGATTCTGTAGTACTGCGGTCGTTTCATATATGTCCACCGTATCAGTTTGTGTCAAACCCTGGTTCCAACCAAAACTTATATTAATAACAAAATTAACACAGGCTGTGCAACTAATTTGCCAAATGGCAATAGCACACTCCTCATTGATGTACAAGGCAAAGGCTTGAGTTGCTTTATATACTTAGAAACACGTAACCCAACGTTAACTGACCCAAAGTTCAGGTGAACCCAACATCAATAAACTGTAAAGACAACATATATGAAAGAATTAGTAAAGTGAAATTTCACGATGGAAACTAAGTATAAAGTATGATAGTACAACCTGAAGAAACTCAAGCTCAAAGTAATATTTCGATCACAACAGCTTTTAACGTATACAAATTCGCATGTTTCATTCGAACGAGCGTTTTTGGCTTGCATTCTCACTGGAAATTAACGCCACATCTTCTAAGGTTGATACCGCGGGTAACCATGGAGAGAGGGATGAAATAATTCTTAGGAAAACGACGGAGAAAGAGCACTGTTTGTAAACATTTTCATTTCCTTTTTGCCTTCCACTCAGTATAAACCTATCAATACAATTTCGGGTGGCAGAGACAACCCTTCACCTGAGATAATTTTTACTGAGCGTTTTTGTAGAGTTGTGAGAGGTAAAAGCTGTCCTCTCGCCAGTGTCTCCCGTAACAGCTCGTGACGGGTTACATAAATGGACAAATGGTCTCTGTGAACCAAAAGCACAAAGGCTCCGGAAACCAATCTAAGCCGTCTCAGTCTCCGGCAGTCAAGCTGGTGTTTTAAAGAGAAAAAAACTGTCCGCCTGACCTAGTTACCCTACTTCCTGAGGCGAGACAAGCGATGCCTGAGTGAATAGGAAGAACGCGAATTCTGAGCTCCGTCGTCGAATAAAGAAACGATTGTCAGTGGTTTTGGAACCACGGTCTAGCTTAACAAGCTACTTTGTCTGTTTCGGACAACACGAATTCCAGTTAATTACCATTGCCTCGGATGCCTTTGACAGATCGATAAGAAGTAACAAGACGAAAATGACTCACCTGTTTCTGCTCCAATGTGTACTCTTCTATGAGTAGAAGGGTTCTCCGTATGCAACTATGCCGGTTCTCACGTTATAACTTCCGGCATCGATAGAGCGACGAACTTCGGACAACTTCAACTCGCCAGAGCGCGACCTCAGCCTTACCTCGGGAAAACCGTGCTCTTCTTGTGCCAAAGATTGTTGCTTCTTCTGTTTACTGACTCCCCAAAACCCACACCTTGGCAACATTCTTCGATTGGCGCGTTTCATGAAAATAAAAATGCCAAGGACAAACATGACAAAAACAACGATCATAAGCACCCAGGCCACCATTATTTGCCAAGATATTCCAACAGCGGTTCGTTCTCCAGTGGACGCATCTTGATCAAAGGAAACTGTACCATCACTGCAACAATGGGAACTGTTTGATGGCGGTAGTGCTGAGCCGAATGATTCAGAAGAGACCAAGACAGGGCGCTCTATTGTAGGAGACATGGCAGCACTGGCGGTCGTTTCACTCTCCCTGACTTCGTGAAGGTTTACATCTGAGACAGTTTGCGTCGTTTCATGAAAAGTGATTGGTGAAGAGATGCGGTAGACAGTGGTAATTGCTGCGTGTGCCATGGTTGGTTTCGACGTGATGACTTCGCCTGTTCGTTCTCCCTTTGTGGACAATTCTGCGTGTGGATGCGAAGTAGTCTCCTCTTGAACTTCCCAAGTCGAAATGGACGTTGAACTGGGGTGAGGTTCCGGGGAAGTTGGATTCACAGGACGACACAGAGAATACAGGAAGCGTGAGGCATCTCGTTGTGCCTGTAGGGACAATTCTCTACCGTTCTTTAGAGTTCCAAAGCATTCCAGTGGCCCAACAGTAAAATTTGATCGCGCAGCAGACTCGGAAAATTGAAGATAAGTCACGGGCAGCTTAGCGCGGTCAGTAACATAGCCTAAGTAGAGAAAAAAAACAAGAATTGCAGTACTTCGTGAGCATTTCCTTCAAAAATGTGGCTTCTCTCAGACACACTGCAGATTCTCTCTTGTCTAAATATAGGCTTCAATCAGATAAAGTTAAATAAACACACCCGATCGGGCCTATTACTTTTAGATCTTAGCACCCTCAAAATAGGCAAGAAATCAATTTGATCGATATTAGGAAATGGTTTTAAGAAATTAGTCTGTGGCTCATGTTCACCCATCTTACCAACTAAATGTTCTTAGTTCCAATCTGGTTAAACGCGAGTCGTTCAATTCAGTTGTCTAGTTTGTATCCAGCGAACTTCACGGGGAACGAAGAAGACATCGGCTTAATTAACCTTTTAACCCCCTGGAACGAAAAGCATCCAATTTCTCCCAACAGTATCAGACCTGAATCACACAATAAAGTCATGAGGATAAAGGAGATGATTATGAACTCAAGCAGCTCTTGATTTATAGATAAATCGTCCTTGTAAGTACCAGGAAATTTCTAGAGAACGGTGTATAGAACTTTCATACTGAGGCTTACCTTTGTCTTCTCTCCATTTCTCGTCTCCAATGTCACAGTTGCACGCAAGTCCTGGATCCGAGCAGGTTCTGTTTACACCACATGCACACCTCATGCTTCCTGCAGGCGCACCTGGCCAGTAGTCGGACACAAGTTCCAGATCTCCTCCTCCTGACCAACTCACCACAGCCGGACCCACCGGCGATTGAAGAAGTTTTGAGTTGAAACAGTTAAAACTAACCAACTGACGACATCTCTCGCTTTGTGCTATCAGAGCCTTGATTCCATTAAGATCTGAATATTTCAAAGGATGAAAGTAGAGTGAAAAGTCGCTAGATTTCGGGGATAAAACGGGTTGAGGTCCCACTCTGCTGTGATAGATCAACGTTACTGCTTCTTCTTGATCCCTCATGTTGCAAAGGACGTCCAGGGCTTCGATTGGCCCTTCATCGTCAGGGTCCACTTTACAATCCGCATCATCGGTCAAGCCCAGATCTTTGTACTCCTGACAGGTCCTTAAGTATATCGGCGTTTCGCAGAATCGACCACGGTGAAATGTCTTTTGGCAATCGCAAGAGAAATCACCACTCGGCAAATCGCTACACTCACCACCGTGTCGGCACGGGTTCGGGAAACAACGACTTGAGACGTTGCAACGATTGTACACCTTTCTGAAAGCGTAACGGCTCCATAGAACTGGGCGTAGCTTGACTTTCTCGTCATCCACACGCAAATCGTGGATGCAGCCGACAAAGTTTGGTCTGTCATTGTCATAGGTACGCCCTATGAAGACTTTCTTTTTACACTTCGTGACGTTCTTCAACAACGGATTTTCGTGCCTCAATTCTGCTAGTTTATCCAGTTTCAACTTCACATCTGTGTTGTTGACAATCACCGAAAGAAAATGCCACTCTCCGTCGTTTAAACTCTCTCCCTGAATAAGCTGCGGCAGATGGCTCACTCCAACCACCAAAACATCCAGAACCACTCTCCCGTCACGCAATAACACATTAACTCTCACTGTTGAGTCGAATTTGTGCGCTAACACGCTGTTCGCAATATAAGTGCGAAACTGCATCTGGACATTGAAGACGTCTTTTCCCGGCGATGGCATAAACAGATAAGAATCTGGTGACTGAAAGCTCACAGTTTCAAATTGCTCACGCGGGCAATTATTTCCAGGTGAACCGTAAACTCTGTATTTTGTGCGCACTTTTGTAGGGCTTGGCAAAACTTGCTTTCTGTCAAAATTCACATATCGAAGGCACCCTCTTAGATTTGAAGATGGCTTGTAATCTGTTAATACATTCCATGTGTGTTGCGGTATACCTCCAACGTAGAGAAAACCTTCAACATTAAAAGTGTATTTACTCTTCAATACAAGGCGGTGTATTTCCTCCCCGTAATTGATTTTTAACTCCTTGTCCATCAAGCGCAGTCGAATGATATGCCAGCGGCCATCCGCTAAATTTTCTTCCAGGACCAGGTGACCATTTGGAGTAGGGATACCGTCACCCATATTGACGGTGATTCTGTGAAGAAATGATAAAATATGACAACTAAAATCTCTTGCCACGTTTTACAACACACGATGCACCTTTATCAACTTTCGCATCTCCATCAAAATCATATATTTCAGATTCGTGATTACATTACCTGCCATAAAAGTCGGTTGAAAATTTACTTCAGACTAGTTATCCAGTTGTACTTTTTTTACAATTGTTTATGACCGTTTTTTGACAAAGGAATAGCAGTGCTTCATAGAGTTTGATGGAGAACATGCTATACGCACAGTTTCTACAGTGCATTTGTTTTTAAATTTCAGCAGGAACTCTTTGTTTTGACGCCCCAGGTTGAGGGTGGAGCACAACTATGCTGGATAAGAACCTGTCATTACTCTATTATTTTCAGTTCCGTCTTGGCAATGTCAGTTTAGTTTACCTCTGCAACAATCATCTGATTGCTTGCGAAGACAAATGGAAAAGCAATTTAAACTTCAACTGAGGACATAAATCAATGATATTTTTTATCAGCTATTAGACCAAACCATTCACAGTTCATTCATTAACATTCTCTGTTCTCAGTAAACTAAAATTTGCACTCAATTGTTACTCCCAAGTGAGAGGCTGACCTATATACCAACAGTGAGATCCCCAACACAAGGGTTATGATCTGTTTAGTTTTACATCTTACGGCTCCGATGGAACTATGCAGGAGGTGCCAAAAAATGCATACTTTGAGGGAAATTTTGCATGGATAAATCACCTTTTCGAAATATTAAAGCTTGTCGTAGAACTCCTTTACGTAAAAAAATTAATATTACAGATTGCACGCAACAACCAGGCGTCAAACAGACCGAGCAAGGCCGAAATATTCGGACGCAGTTATTTCGAGAAGAGTCACATTACACGATAAAAGCCAAGAATAACAAAAATTAATGTCTGATGAGTTACAAATTTTAACTCAAATGAAGGACACTTTGAGTTTGTTCGTACGAAAATCGCCTCTGTTCAATGGTGGACTCTCCCATACATTCCAATTAAAACACTGTTCGCCCCTTTTAAGAAGTGTGTTATCACAAATTGAAACTTTAAACAAATGTTTCCACATACATATCGGGTAGCGATTTATATCACGGGGTGCGTAGTAACAAAGAGGTAAAGCGTGCTATCTTTTGCAAATACAAATCTGTGCAAAGTAAAAGCAAATACGTTAGTTGACCTAGGGTCATTCGGTCGCCAAGAAAGCTTTTTAGTGTATTCTGAAGTATTAATTTACGGTAGATTGCGCCAATCTAAAATCATCGTAGACTGTCTGTTCGGCCACCAAAAAATATTGACAGAAAATATTTGTGTAGTAGTACTAGTAACTTCTTGCCAAAGCTACAGCTGCGTGCAAATAACAGAGAATGTTGGAATGATGACTTTAGACGCGAAATCTAGTGTTCCAAGTTAGAAATTACATGCTTTATGATTTGAAATAGGAGTCGTGAGAATAGCTTAATGATATGAATAATCTTATCAGAACAATTTTTGTGTTTGTTCGCGCGAAAATAACTTGTTCAAACAGACAAGTTCGTACAACTCCGGAAATACATCTTGTGCCAAATAAGACGAAATTTTTAGGTATGTGACAATTTGGAGGGTGTTCATTTGTATTTGTGTCGTGAAGTGTATCCAATCTCAAACGTTCGCTTCTTACCTCAGCTTTCCGCAGACTAAATCAACCATCAGAAAATCTCTTTTTTCCAACTCACTACCAATGTAAACCAACATACCACTTGGATGGATGGTCTTGAATTCAAACCTGAGTTCGTGTTCCCTCAGAGTATGCAATCGCCGCCTGTGCGTCAAGTTAAAGGATACAAAGTCGTCACCATCAAAACGTATTTCGCGGCTACCCAGGCTTGTTTTTAAACTCAAAAATTGCACCAGGCTAAGAACAGTTATAGCGGCCCGTAACATAGCCATCTCGGCGATGAAAGCAAAAACGCCCAAATAATAACCAACAGTGAAAGGTTAACAACTCTCGTTTCTCATGGATAACCATCGACCGCAAGTTATGACGGTTCTGTATTTGATGGACGGATGGCCACTCCTCCCCTTCCTCTTTTCGTGTCCTCAGGAATGTCTTGTCCAAAAAAAAAATGGATAATTAAGTCAAAAGACAGAGAATGAAAACCGAAGAAATATATAATGAGAAACAATGAGAACATTAGTATATGTGACCACTCCGAGTAGTTCCACCAGTGAGTGCCCTAATGGAACTGGTTCCGAGCGAAACTTACAATTTTTTTAGTTTTAAGCCTCCTTCACTCATTATCACAAAGGCCATCTAAAGGTAGAAAGAGAAAACAAAACAAGGAACAGGAACTTAGTGGCTATTCGTTTTTTTTTAAAAAAGAGGATGTTATTTGGTTTTGGCCTCGAATGCCAATTCTATAGGGACCTTCAGCAAACCACGACAGAGACGGAAACGAGGACGTGAAAAAACAAAAGATCTAATTGGCAGAACAGTAGCTCAGTACGTGCGTTTTGAAACTTTGTACATTTCTTAGCCGTCCATTGCAAAACAACAACGTGAAATCACCAAAATTTGCGTCGTCTGCGAACGGAAACCGCAACGGCAGATTATTTTAAGTTCCATTTGGACATTTGAGTTCCCGCGGAAACTCAACGCTACTTTTATACGTCATGCTGAAGTTGAGGTGTGGCGCCGTATGAGACGGTAAACACATGCAGCCATTTCCGAAATTCTGAGTTAAAGTTTGAAATTCATTTCTCAATCGACTTCTTCCTTGGCGTTGCCGTCCTCACTGCTCAAGGTCTCTTATATTTCCCAATATACTTCAACGCAACTTGGTTCTTCGCATTCCGGCTCTTCATACTATATATATGAATGGTGAGCTCGGTATGTATGCTAAAAGAAGTTCTCACCCGCCTTGATCTATGTAAGTTTCCATTCACATGTTCTTTTGTGCATCGAAAGTTATCTTGCATGTTTCCCCCAACCCCCCTCCGCACACACAACCCCATTCCCCTGATCGCGTCAGGCAGAAATATTCATTATTTTCACCAAAAACTGTTTTCGAAACATCGTTAATGGAAACGAAGGACGGCAGCTAGGTATTTAAGTCACACGATGATGAAATGGTATCCAGGCGACAACGTTCCCTTGTTACACAATAAACTGATGAAGCATGATACTCCACTGTGATTGGTTGACTTTCAAAAGCTGTGATTGCATTTTTTTTTGACTGTTGTGATTGGTTTGATTTCAACAGTTTTTATTCTCAAGTTACAACACTATTATATAGATTAAGGGGGTAAGTTAGTAACAAGGTAATTCTGGTTTTATCATCATGGATTGTGAGAGTGAATGGAACGCGTTCGGTATTTTCCTTCTGTGACGTTTGTGTGTTGATAGTCGATCAATTCGTTGGGCGCAGTGGTGGCCTGCTTGAACGTTTTTAAAAAAACTGGCACGTTGCCTCTGATTCTGATTTGTCGAAAAATCAGAGTCATCACTACATAAACGACGAAGTCTAAGAAACTGAGAAAGGGGATTGAAGTTCTTGACATGGGATGGATGCGCAGATGAATACAACATGTAGCTATGAGTCTATAGCTATGTAATACACACAAACCGTTTCCTTTAATTGAAACTTTCTTGGTCTTTTTTGGACATCAAAGTTTCAACTAAAGGCAACGGTTTATGCATTACAAACCTACAGAAAACTCTTGAAAGCGACACGGAGAAATTTACCGTTTTTCTCCTTGGGACTGTGAAGTAAAAGGTGCCGTCTCAGGCAAGTAATGGACCTGCAATATTCAAAGATAAGCCCTTATTGGGTATACCACACTAAGATAATGTCAATTTAATCGCCTTAACTACTTAGGGAATATAAAACTCTAGCACATAGGATTACCATAAAACGACGCTCATGAAAAATGCATATCTACGCTGAATATCCTTGGAATACGGTAGATTTGTGAATATGTTTATCCAAATGTTTGGGCAAATACAAGTGATCTGATGACAAACACCAAAAAAGTTGAATTTTTTTTTTCTTTTTTTTCGCTTTTTTTTTTTCATGGAGCTTCTCCCTTATAATTTGAAGTTATCATGATCTAAAGTATTACGGCCAGCGAGACGCCTCTCTTGAATTTACTCAGCTCTGCCACTGGCTTCCTTTTTTCAAGAGATACAGCTGAACTGATTATCCAATGCGATAAAAGTTCTTCTCGTAGGCAATCGATCTTTCAACGGAGGGAAATACGATCTGAAAGAATAGATTTTGCTTTTTATGAAAATCAACTTTCGACAAGCAAGACACGGTTAACTGTAATATTACCTGTCATTTATATACATCAAAAATAGAAAGACGAATAATATGACGATTTTTCTATTGACTGGAAGGATATTATACCGTGTCCAGCCAAAAGCAAACGGGCCATTATATTCAAAGAACTTAATTGATAATATCACCCTGTGGTATCTGCTTTAATTTTTCTGTGATTTCGCTTTTCTGTGAAAGAAGAGAAAATACAATAATATGTTCGACGAAAGAACAACACATGCTTTCGCTGTTTCCTTCAAAGTGTTAAGGTTGATTTTTTTTGCTTTTCAACAAAAAAGCGACACTCGTTTCACACATGCAGCTTTGCTATTTCCCTGTTGGTGATCAGAAAGGTGAAAAGACTAGTTTTCAAAAAAAACCTTTTAGGCCGACTGAGATTAGCATTTAATTAAGTTAATTTCTTTTCATTCTCAACTGATTGTTTTGGAAGAGTTTGATCGCTTGTATATACAGGCACTTGCAGATATTTCTTTCTGCAGCGGTTCCTTAAGCATAAACTTTTAAACCTTTTTCATAAGCGGCTGCCTATGGTTTTCTTAGGTGGTTGTGCCCCGAAAAGGCGCCGTGAGGCGAAATCCAAAGACAAAGGTGGCAAGAAGCGTTACTGGCGGCGAGCGAACATGCTTTTACTGAAACCCCTCATTTCAGCGATATCTTTATTAGACGTTCAAAGTAGTTTATTCGAAGTTAACTGTTCGTTTAGCTTGCTGTATCGAGCCTACTCAATAGAAGTCCGTTGCAAATCTCTCTCTCACTGAAGAAGTTGATCATTGTAACACTGGCTGTTCCCCAAATTACTTCTTTCACTTTCTATAAAATATGCGCTCCTACATATCTATTTATCTGTATCCCTCATTTGGACCAGAGATGATCTCTTGAGCACTTCGATGACGCCACCAGCCTTAAAATGTATTTTCATTGGTCGTGTAAAAAAACTCTTTCTTTAATTTTCCAGTGACATATACTGATCGGAGATAAGTACCCTCCTCTCTGGCTAAATGTGGTTTTCCAGAAGTTTTCCATCAGTCGCTATGACAGTTCTAATTTTTCAATTTAAGTGCCATTTCCCTTTGCTCACCATTTCAAACAATTAATTAACGATGTTGTATCAACTTGTCAAAAAATGAATGTGGTAGAACATCATCGGCAAAAAGCTAAACTAAGGAAACTTTTAATTTCTGTTCTTCCTTAGACAATTGCAGCACTTGCCCACGGCTAAGAGCAGAATTTACATGAACTTTTGTCCTCGACGGTTTGAGCCTTCAAACAAAGCGCCATTTGGCTGTAATTACGACGTGCTTGTCAGTGGGCGAAATTTAAATTTGCGTCAAAATACGACTAAGCCATGTACTCAAGTAAGATGCAGAACACTTATCACAAGTAATAATTGTCTTAGAGTACTTTAAGGTTTAGGGATGTACTCCTGCCGTGTTGGTGAACTACCGAAGTAAAGAAGAAATTAAAGCTCGCCACTTGAAGTCAACCTGGTTTCGATGGTAAATCTCCACCGCCGGTTTTATATGTACTCAAACTGCGGGAGGTCTGGATTCATCTTGCTATCTCTTTGCTCTTCGCAGCACAGCAATGAAGAACGTCAGATTTCGATTCGCTTTAGGTCCTTTATTCTACGTCCCTGCAAATGAGAGAAAACTATGAATCCCTCTGTCTTGCTGAATATAATATTGATTGCATAAATTTTATCAAGGTCGTGTTTCCTATTTTCAACAAGAGAGATTAGATAACATGCCTGCTTGCGGTAGTTCTTTTCATAAAAGACAGATCGCTCAAGATGTCTATACGATATTATCCAGTTTGTATTGCGTTCACGGCACTAAGTGGCCGGCTTTTGTCGCTGTCGAATTTTCAGTTGCAACACAAAGCACTGTTTACATTTATGGGGGCGCTTATGCATGAATTATCTTCCTGAAGAAGCGCAGCTGTACTTTGAGTGTGCGTCACATAATTTGCTTAAAACCATTTCCACCAGTTGAGGTAGACGACTACCAGTGTAGATCACCGCATATCACCGCTTAATTGCTGGATTTTTTAAACCACGAAAAAAAAAAAAACTACCTGAGAGATACAATATTGCTCTTGATACATTTTTGTTCGATTGCACAAAAGGAATCATCTATGGCGGGAAAGGGAGAAGGCTTGGAGCGAAAAGCGATTCGAGATGAGAACCGGGTAGCATCTACACAGCAAAATAATGATGACTCAAGGCAAAGAGTTCTGCTTCATGGAGAAAATCTTCACGCACCGATCAAAAACGAGCCGCGCTACATTGTGGAGTCCGATAAAATAAAGGTATGAAACTCAGTTGCCGCCATTATTTTCGGCCGTTGTTGGAGAGACATTTACTTATACGAAAATTCTATGAGTACTTTAAATGGCCATGTAAACACAACAGTTGCAGCTTTAATAGCTTTGGGTGATTCAAACTAAAATATGCCAGTTTTCGACAATAATGTCCTCCTCCCCAGTCACTTTAAAGAAGCCAATGATCATGTAGGCTTTTTGATATTTCGAACTCTGACTTTTTTTCTAGGATAACGTCATCTCTGTTATGGACTTTATAGCGGTTTTTCAGAGGATTTCTCATTATGAGAGATTCAGGCTTTCGCTTCCTTTTCGTTTACCCTTTGTGATTTTTTAACAAACAGCGCTTGTGTGAAGTGCAATACAAGATGGAGAGCTGGAAGTCTTTTCCGGTGAAGCGAAAACCTGATACCGTCGTAGAAACATGATAAAAAACTTTTTTTGTACGTCACTTTTTGTCTGGTAATGGATATCAAACCCGCTACAGCTGTTTCCATCTTTTTAATTCAAATCTTTTGGAATCAAAAAGTCTGAGCTCTTTTTTCTTTAGGAAGCTTGCTCATAATCTCAAAGTCGAAAAGTTGAAAGTTAGGCATAGATACGATCTACTGTTTTCTTTTGTAACGAAATGAAATTTTTTTTTTTTTAACAAGCAACCAAACAATTGCACCAAAAGATTACAATTGCAGCTAACAAAATTGGGTAGCCAGAAAGCCAAATATTGTATCGCGAAAATGCGGGAAAAAGATTTTTAACGGACCGTAATAAATAATTCTACAATATTGGTTGTTTGAAACCTCTGGCAAGGAATGTAATAAAAACCCCTTCTGGCAGCGGAAAATCATTAAATAAATATTTGAAGTACATTTCCTCGAATTCTTTCAACTGTAATTGAAAGGCAAAAATATAAATTTAGTGGACATTATCTATCAAAAGTAAATTTCGTTCGTCACGAACGATAATATGTAACTTAACATGTACATGTAGAGTTTATGAAGTAAACTTGTAAAAATGAATTATTGAAACAAATCTTTTAATCCCCCAAACTTTATCCTCGTCCCGGTTGCAGTCTGTTTATTTTTTTTTTCTCCAGCTGTAGATTTAAGTCGTTGTCTCTTCAAACAATTGACTCAAAATGCAAATTTCCTTCGTGCAAAGAATACAATTAGGAACAGACAGTAAAATACATTGGAAAATTTAAAAAATAGTCAATCGCTGAAGTTGCTTAAGTTTATAGCGGTTGAAAATGTATCCTGGAAAGTGTTCAGTGTTTTAGTTATGTTAATTTTAGAGCCGTTAAGCTCCGTTCCAGAATTGATTTGTAGAAAATTAATACGATACGCAGTTTATTGTAAAAGTAGAAAAACTTACCTCTGTAGAGGGTTTTCTCGTAACTGTTACGAAACACATAGATATCGTAATTATGTTTCATTAAGATGCTGTTTTTTTTATTTATTTTATTTTATTTTATTTTTAAAGAAATAATCAATGTTTCCTGAAAAAGATAACTTTCTTTTTGGGGATTTTCGGCGGGGGTAATTGTTTCAAAACAGGCAAACAAGTGTAGGAGGCTACAGCTCTGACCGTTTACATTCTATGTTGAAGGGATGACAGCTACGTTTTAATTAATTACTTGAATCGTTTGGTTCATTTAGAAGCAAAAAATGTTTTAGCATGGTTTTTAATTTTAAGTTCTTTTTAAAAACGCCCTCCTCGTATCACAAACTCGGGGCAGACGATCCCACGGTTTCCGTACCGAGAAGAGTTATCAGTGGTGACTGATTTTGTAATATTTGACTTGATTTGAAAAAGGTGGTAGTTTTTGTATTTTGTAGTTCATATGCTATAATAATGGCAAATTTTCGGTTGTTTTTGTTACCACCCACTACTAAAACAAATAACTTGACTGAACAAGGCTCAAATAACAAAGGGAAGGACATAGAAACGTTTGAGTACATTTAGAAAGCCACTGCAAAGATCAAGCTCATCACGGTCCAAACAAAAACGAGATGGTAGGTGATATTTTGAACATGCATGTTTTTCTTTTCTCGATGACGTTTCTTCGTTATTTTGGATAGGCAACACGCCTGAGTTACAAACAATTCGATAAACGTTTCGGTGCGGAGTGAATACGGGACGTGTTTATCATCAAAGTGTTCATTTTAGTACATTCTTTCTTGCAGGCCGAAGAACTTGATATTTCTGATTCTGCGAGTCAATTCACAAGAACGTATTATAATACAAGAAGGGCTGGAGTCGAAAACCATCAACAGACCTTCCAATCCTCGGCAAACGAGGATACCAACGGGCAAAATGACCAGGCACCTCTGACTCAGGGGTCAGGCAGAGGGGACCAAAATCAGAATTACCCCTCAAGACCAGCACCGCAGGGTCTCATCGGCGTTATACCTCCCAGGGAGCTAGACATGGGACCACAGGGAGACGATGCAGACAACTCACCGAACTATCGCCGTATGGCTGTTTGTCAAGAGACAGACGACGCTTTGGGCCAGAGGACAAAAATGCGCGTTTACATGAAGCGTTTTTGAAATTCTAGAAATGATGTCCTTGAACAAGGTGAAGCTGAATTCTGAGGCAATTTTGTATAGCGGTCGGAAATTCAGAAAGGTTCGTCTTTGGTGATGCATTTAAACTGAAGAATCTATCGTTGACAAAACAGCTACTGTCAGCGAAAGACTAGTCTAAGTACAGCGAAGAAGGATCCACTCATCTGTTCTCGTAAAGACTTTCTTTGATTCCGTCGAAACTAGAACTGGTGCACCTGTTTCTCCAGGTGTGACACTCCTTTTTGAGCCAGTCATCTAATATTAACACACGGGTATTAGATACAGGCGTTCATGGTTATGATTTCTTAGTAGGGGGAAGCTTAAGTTGGCTTATAAGAAACCATTAGGAAAGTTCAGTTGTGTTGTGCAGTCAGAACAAGTGATTCTAACCATCGTTTACGGGCGCTTAACACAACTTTTACCCCTCGTTTCATATCGTTCGCAGTCTTTCCTCAGAAGGAAACTTGAAAAGAGCCACGTACGTACGTGCAACCCTCTATTTAGCCCTCCCTTTCTTAGAAGAAAAAAAACCTTGCAACAGAGGAGATCTAATTACCTTCTCTATTAATATATAACACAACTGGTCGTGTAAGTTTAGGCAGTTTAGCCCAGACTTACTTGTCATTAGACGAAATTAACATCACAGTGAATGTTAACTTACTAGTACAGTGTATAGATACAGACAGGCGAAAAAGGCACAAAAGATTAAATCCGTAGCAATTGGGCTAAATTTTCAGAGTGCAGGCCATACTTGCTCAAGTTTGTAATTAAATTTATGGAAGCGTCTTTGTATTGCCCGAAAATATTGATGATCATTGTGTCATTTTACGAAAAAAAGAAAAACTGCTGCACTAGAAATTTGAGAATTAAAATGATAAATTACTTGAAGTCAGGTTTGATTTCCTCCACTTTTTTTTTTAAGAGCGTGGGCTCACTTCCCGAACAGCAGTTAGGTATTGTGTCTGTTACTAGAATGAGGGACATGAGATCTACCCAAACAATCAACAAGGAGTTACTGTACAAAACTTTATTCACATATGAATACAAGCAGTTATTAACGTAAAAAAAGGCTCCGAAGGGGGTAAGCAGTTTTCCTACTGCTTTCCCCCCGCAGAATGATTAAGTTACGATAAACAAATTAGAACAAATTCTGGCAATACTGCAGCAGGGACGGATCCAGGAATATTGGATAGGCGGGGGGTCCAGACTGATTCACACAACACAGAAACTTCTTTTCAAAACTAAGGCCTAAACAAGCTAAGAAATTTATAAGTATACTTCGAATACTTCAAGTTCAGTATTTAAAGACAATCCTACCGTCGAGGAATTCTAGTTGCACACAGGCAGTCGTAATACCCCCAGATATTCCCGATGTTCGGCATTGTTCACGGACACATTGTAAAGCCGAGATCTTATCAACGTTTCAAGATCAATTACGCTGTTTTAGCAACAAGATGCGACTGCAAGTTAGGACGTCGCACTTATTTGAGAAAACGACTGGGCACGGAAAGATTAGGCGCACCTCTTCAAACTGACGTTGCGTTGAAAATGTACGATTGTGTATTTTCCAGCCCTCTCGAAGACGCAGGACCTAAGAGCAGGTCAAAAGGGTTTTAACTAACTTGTAAAGGGAGCACTTGATTAGGTTCTGCATGCAATCTTAATTCAACATGTAAAAAGTTAATTCTGACAAAGAACAGAAATATCAACAAAAGACCGCTTGATCTAGCCTGGCCACATTTCGATTCAAGTTTAGAAATTTGCTCAATTATTTGTGCTAGGCGTAATCAGCCTTACTATCCGCGTCTTCAATCACGGTCATGACTTTGCATCCTAAGCCCGCGCATCCTGTTGCTAAATCAATCTAATATCAACGTATAAACAGAAAAGTATTTAGGGTTCTGTGCCAGTTCGAAAAGGCTAGGGAAACAAGTGCGGACATAGTTTTGATCGTAGTCTCGCCAATACCTCTGACAAAAACATAGTTCAAAGGACCTGCTTTGAACCAGATACTCGAGCCCGAGGACACGATACATGTACATATAAATTAATTTCATCTGAACTTAAAAACTTCATGGTGAATAGATTTCTAGATACGATAATGCAGAAAAAAAAAAAAAAAAAAAAGAAAAAAGGAAAGACGAACCCCGAAATTTGCGAATAATCTCACATAGGCATCGCAAATTCTTAGAGATTCGAATGAAAATGGGAAAAGTTTCTTCCATTCACCACAAACGCGCACAGAGATAAACAGATTCTTGCACAAATGACTAAAAGGAAGAGAGCTAAAGTTCGATTCTCGCCTATTGCTGTACGCGTAGTAGACATCTAACACTCTCCTTTCACTAAAATTCACCTTGTGCACGAGTCTTACCTCTAAACACAAAGAGAGCAGTTCTTGCTATAGACGAAACAATAAAAGACGCTCTTAAATAAGTGTCCAGAAGAGTCTATAACTTCTCTCCACGAAGAATCCGCCATATAAAATTCGAAGGAACATTTAATATATTTGTTGATACTATTTAAAAGCGATTAAGACCAACCAGCGCCAAATTTCTTTAAATGGCAGTATTAGAATGGATTAAGTAATTCTAACCGCGCTGAGCGACACTAAGAGAGTTGAATGACAGCACTTTCGCTTGGGCCCAATGTTGGTAAACTGAAACAAGATCCAATCACAGACATTCCCAAGTCAAACAACCAAGTCAAAATAGTAGATTAATAAAGAAATATCTCATAATACCTGAATTAAACTTCTTATTAAAATTAAATAACAGCTTCTTAAGTGACGCTAGGACTTTAAGTTCACAAAAATCCCTGACAGGTTTCCTTCCTTATTTTGAACATTGAAAACTATCTTGTATAACTACTGTTGGCTTTGCATTCTGTATGTTAATGGTTGCTTGTTTGTTTGTTTTTTTGCAATAAATTGAACAATTAAATTCAACAAATCTCTGGAATGTCCGTAGCTACAAAACTTGCACGCGTTAAAAAGCGATATACTGATCTGTACATCAAAATAAATTCCAATGTTATTGAACTGTTCACCAGCCCACCCCACCCTAAACAATTCAACAACAATAACAAAGGGATTTCTCCCCTCGACTAAAAAAAGCTACAAATGTACAAGTACACCACACGTCTGGAAACTCAACTGATTCCGAAGTAGCTCATTACGCAAAAGCCTAATGTTCTTCAATTTCAAGCTAAAACGGTCATGTAATCTCTTGTTTTTTTCTAAATTCTTTAAAGACTAATTTTTCTCTACTTTCCAAACCTTTGATATAGGTAGCTTTCCTTTCAAGTCTTGGGAAAGACAATAAAATGAAAATGAAAATAATCATAATATTCAAGGACAATAAACCAAACCTTCATGACGCAAAGACATGCAAGGATGTCTCTTCTCCGATATCATATATCGATGCCGGTGCACATAACAACTGCAGCGATTATTGTCGTTGGCACTGATTCAAGTTCACAATTAAAATACAGCTCTTCTATCAGGGGTGAAAGGTCTGGGTGAATCCTGATCTCTGTGTTACTTGAGTGAACAGGAAGCAACATTACAAATTGGAATTGCGTGTCATTTCAAAAAAAAAAAAAGGTGAAGGGAAGGGACTAACTATGACTAAAGCTCGAGCAAACGCTGGACATGAATTGAACGACAAAAATACTTGGCCCATTTTTTAAATTATGCAAATAAACATCAAATTAGCTAATACTAATCCAACCACCACAAAAACCGTGTCAACGTCCATGCATTTGCATGGGGGCCCCGGGGTACGGCGGCGGATCATCGTATTGAGGGTTCCCTCGGTTCCCTTGCTGCATCTGTCGACCTCTCTGGTTAGGCCGGCCACGTGCTGGCTGACGGCGGAGTGTGAGCTGGCGAGCTGGCTTTCGGTTCGGGTTACTGCTCGGCGTGTGAACGCTGCACAACTTGATGAAGCCTGCAATTGCAGAAGGAGGAAATAACGTGTAAGTTACAGAAAGAGAAGTGATTCTCTTTCGACGCACCCATTTTGTAAGTATCTAAGTAGTCTGGCTATATACATAAAACCGCAAGATGTGTCTTACCGACAGCTGACACCCAAATGATCGCCAAAAATAATTATTCGAGTCGAGAATGCCCATATGACTAACTCCCAACTTTTCAAACATGTAGATAACGAGGAGTGTGACTTTGTTTCGTCAGGTACAGTGTAAGTGGCCAATTTTGCTAAGCGGCATCCTTTGTCGATAACTTGGCACATTTTAAGATAATTTTCGAAAGGTTAAGTTACTCTTTGGGATCTCAAGACGCGGTTAGAGTTTTAACTTCACTGCACAAACTTTTTAATTGCAGAGACATCAATTTATTATTTTGAAGCCGGCATACTCAGGTCTCTACAGCATTGAAGTCTCTGAAACACATTTGAAGAGGCAGAGATTTAACACTTTTACTGTACCTGCCATGAGCAGAATGAGGCCGACACCCATGAGCACCACAGCCCACCAGTACTCCTTGATCCATTCTAAGTATCCCTTGATGGCCTCCTTGCTGAAAAACTTGTTCTTCAGACGTGACAACGGTCCGTCTGCGTCCACTGCGCGACACTTGAGGAAAACATCACAGTAGCCATTGAAGTCGTTGCACGGCGCGCCGGGAAATTGTTTCAGATTTTTTTCTTCCTTCATCTCCTTAATCTCACTGGCCGGCAAGCATTTGCCTTCCTCGCCGTCTTTGCAGCACAAATCACAGAGATGATTTTCTTGTGCACACTGGCACTCCAACTTATTGAACTTTAAGCAAATTGAACCGCTGCATTCCTAGGCAGAAACAGTACAAAATAACAACAAAACACATTAAAATGATCACACAGGTTTTAACAAACTAGTTTAAAATGCAGATAGAACGTCTCAACCGAGCGTCACAGCACACCTCGTGCGAAACAATTTCTGGGTACGGATTCTTAATCCTTGAACCTAGACAGGCTATTTGTGGGATTTTCAGCCGGTAACCCGAGCATGGAGGGCTCAGAGCGTTTCAGCAGTAGAAACGTGTCAAAAACTCTATGAAAGTTACATATTCCACCGTAACAATAACGACAGCAATTACAGAAAGATCATAGTACTCAGACTAAGAATTCAAGTAGGTAGTTGGGGTCTGAACAGCCCATGATCTTTCTTCAGTCATTGCGGAAAAACTTTGTTTCGAAGAAATTTCGATAATTTATGTCCGAGAAGAACTATCTAATTGTCTTTTTTTAAATCATTCCCTGATTTTCTGTCGGTTCAGCCGAGACCGGGATCGGGACCCAGGCCGCTACAATTAAAAGGGAACACGTCACTGTTCAGCACTGACCGACGACATCAGTTATTCAGTTTCGTGTTTTCTATAACTTTTGTGAACATTTTATCATCAAAAAACAGGTGCCATTACTAAATTGGAAGATCGGGCAGGACATGGCAGTCTAATCATATACTTTGTTCATGATGAGACCAGCCCAGCCTGCTTGCTAGTTCTTGCACGGAACTCGTAACCAGTAGCAAACACGCAAACACTAAAACTTACTCCCTGAATGCAAACTTGTCTTCCTTCATTACAAGAGGTGAAATTGGCTTTAGGTGCCGGAACAGGACAGGTAGCATTAATTCCACTTTAGAAAAAACAATATTAAGGAAAATACCAAAAACAAACAAGAACTAACAAACGCAATGTGTAGCTAAAACTGACAAAATGAGGAGTTCACAAACCCTACAAGACTACAACGCAACCTCTTGTTCGCCTCCCTTTTATTTAGTGGTCTTAATATTGAGAATTCCTCAGAAGAGGGTAGAACTGAGGGAAATCCATGGAGGAATGAGATGGGGATGGGTAAGATGAAGGACTTCTATGTCCTGATTGGTTGAACAAAGGGATAATATCACTATTTTTCCCACTCGATTACTTCCTTTTTTTCCTGTGACATGAACTTCTTTTTTTTTTTTAAATTTCAATTCTTCATTCATGGACATCTTTCCCCCACCCTTGACTACCCTTTTCCCCCCTATGAAATAAATTTAGGCCAGCTTTTGGCCACGCTGCACCCTTTGACCCAGGAGGGAGACAGCAAATCAAACACTAAGGTCATGAGTATAAAGGAAATGAGCACCTGTTAAAGAAGCTCGAAATTCACAAATTTGAATTGTCACAAATTCCTCCTTATCAGGAAATATATGGAAGATAGACATACTAATATCAGAGTGTTAAGGGTTCATTGAGTATTTGTAAAGTTGTCGAGTCAAAGTAAACAAATGTTGTTTCTCCTCCCCTGTTTAGCTTTCTATAGTTCTCCCACAAAAAGCAAGACAAAAAAATTAATTCCTTAATAAGTTTAAAAAAAATAAAGAAAAAGAGCCATCTAATCTCAGGATTAGTCAATAATGCATTTCAATGAGCCCGCTTCTTTGATAGACAGGGGTGAATAGTACCTGATCCAAACCCAAATCCAACTAAACAGGGCAACTTTAGACCAGGGTGGTGAAAAATGGATTGGGCATCCAGGCAAGGACATACAGTGTGACACTGAATGCACACATGTACAAAAGGATACTTGCAATATGAGGTGTTGGCGCACTCAGTTTCATTAAGACACAAGACACTTTGTTGATGTGGAACACAATCATAACTGCAGCAAAGACCTTGGCTTGGGCTGAAAAAGGAAACAAAAATATCTGCAACATGCTCTTTCTGATTAAGGGGGTAAGTTTCTAAAGAAACTGTGGTGTTGCTTCAGTGAGGGGGGGGGGGTAACAAGGTAATTTGGTTATATCAACTAAGTTGAAATTGTAAATTGGCCACCATAAAGACAGAGGGCTAACACTTGAAACGTGACAGCTTTTTTACTCTTTACGGTGGCCAATTTACAATTTCAACTTAGTTGATATAACCAAATTGTCTTTCTCATAAAAGGTAACTCTTACAGTAAGCATCACTCTTGATCAAAGAGGTTGATTATGACACAAAAGACTAAAGAAATGAGGGTTATTTTGTGAAAGAGCTTCTGTGAGGGTACATGTACATTGTAAATAATTTACAATGTACATGTACCACTATGAAAAAATAAGTTTTCACAGTCTTGCTGAGGAAATACAACCTCATCTAATACGCCCTACTCCCAAATTGTTGGCCAACAGTCTAAAAATTCATTATCACTAATACTAATTCCCATAAAAAGAAACAGTGCTCTGAAAATCAGAATACACTATCACATCTGATCTTAAGCCCAATGCCTGCTGCTCCCCTGGAGCTTTTCTAGTTTCCCTGGTATAAACTGACTATGAGTTCAGAGACATTAACCCCCAGAATTCTCTCAGGTTTATTTAACAGTTTAATGGAACCCAACTACATGTCTATATTCCACAATAACCTACAGTACAGTGCAGACAGGAATTGAATTTGTACTTTTGAAGTAGAGTAAGCTAGCCACTATGTATCTCGCCAATGTAGAAGGTAAAATAAAGCAAAATAATGTTACGCCAAAACAATTCAAATTATTAGAGAAATGACAGTTGCAAGTTATTTATATTTTCAGCTGCTACATACATTTCAGAGACATTATTTGTGGTAGTACAAAATGAAATTTTGAGCTGCTATTTTGGAGAATGATCTATGACCATCAGGCACCTGTACCATCATTGAAATTTGTGGGTAACACATTAAGTTAATAAGAATGCATGTAAAACAATAACAAGAGTAACCAACCTGCATGTTGCATTATATCTGCGTTTACAGCCACTTCCTTCACTATTAACGTCACGGCCCACACAACACGTGTCCTTCTTACATGACTCATCAGTTTTATAACCACAGTCACACTCCTCCCCAGCCTCTGTAACCATGTTGCCACAGATGGCTCCTTGAGCATCTAAAATGGACAAAGGAAAAAACATTCAACACCAAAGTGCAAAAACCACTCATTTAAGAATAGCTACTGTCTCAGTCAAGATAATTTGATCCATAAAAAGCCACTGTTGTACTGTATATGTACAAGTAGAACACAATAACTCATCCTTTTAGGTTTTGTGCTTTGTCAGATAAAAAGTTGCTTAGCTCTAAACATTACACAACCTTTTTCACTAACAAGCAATATCTTCTTCATCCTTTATCAGTAGAATACACTGAAATTCCCAGCATTTTTTATTTCTTGAGTTAAAATATAAATGAAAAAAGATGTTTTGTAGATGAGGTGATGCCAATCTTTGTGGTTTTTGCTTTTGAGACAGGTTTTTGCAATAAATTATTTATCCCTATTCCCGGCGAGAGAGCTTGTCAACTTAATAAAAAAAACTCAACAGCTGTTTCTGCAAAATTTCAGCTACAATATTGCTGCTGCTATGACCCACATGTACAGTTGTATGCCAGATTGTGTTAGCCTAAATCTTGGCAAGGTTACTTGTACATGTAGCTATACTATTTGAAGTCTCTATCATGCTTCAGATTGTTGACTACATTACTATAGTATTGTATACTCCAACACCATCTGATTTTGTCTTTTATGGCATGGCAGAAGTGAAAGTCCCAAATGTAACATGCTAAACAGGAAGAAAAGACTGCATTTTTCAGTTACCTCTAAAGCAACAGCTATTTGAAGTACACCGCCCCTTGACATCCATCACTTCATTCATTTTTGTCCTGCTGCATGGTGAAAAAAGTCTGTTGTTCTTTTGATCTCCACTCGTGGCTCTTGCAAACATGATGTAATTCCCATCAGTTCCCCCTGGGGCGCATTCAGGAGAATTGTCATGCTAAGAAGTTGAAAAGAAAATATTGTCAGACAACTAAAAAAAATTCAAAACAGTAAAATCTTTTTAAATGTATAGTGCTGAAGGGGTAGGGGGATATCAGCTTAGGGTGCCCATGTCCTCCCTTGATTGTGAGATTTTTGCCAGCCTAGAGTTACTGTTAATCAGCTCTTTAATCACATATCACCCACACTTTCTCAAGAAGAAAAAACACACGTCACATTTTGACTGATGAACAGTTACATGTAGACTAAAACATGTATCCAAGAGTAATTTACTGTCTGTTATGTGAAACTTGATCAAGCTATTATTCTGGTTATACCCCCCCCCCCCCCCCTGGAAAAACAAAGTTTGGGTATCACCATGACAATACAGCAAGCACTGTGAGTGTGAAACAGTGTGACACCTTTTGAAGATCCTTGCCACCCCTTAAATTTGCTGGCTAAGAGTTGCTAGTCTGTGGTATGTTTGGGGAAATTTCTTGACTACATGTACAATGCTTGACAGGGACATGAATAACTTGTTTTCCTCCCTAATTTTGTATTTTCCATAAATCACCCTTCTTTTTCTCACGCAGCTGTAATGCTTAATGAAAAAATTAATACCCAAACTGCCCTGGTTGCTTTTGCTTAGTTTATCAGAAGCTCTTGATAAGTGTATAAATAAGAATGTTCATTACTAACAGTGACAACAATCAATTGCAAATAACATCAGTACACCTTACCGGTGAGCCAAAGTTATGTCCAGCTTCATGTGCAAAGGTAATCTCAGACACCTTTCGTAACACTTTCTTGTTGTAATTGACAAATGTGACAACTCCAGTGTTCAAACTTTTTGTTTTGCCATCTCTAAATGAAGTTGCCGTTTCACAAATCCCACCTGCAGCTCCACCTTATGATAAATAAAATAAAAAATTATTAAATTTGAGAATGTAGAAAGGAAATGAGCATGAACAGCACTGACCTAGATGTGGAAACACATCAACAACTACAGTGAGCAGAATAGCTATAACATTAATGTATTTTGTGAGATATACTGAGTGTACAGCAAGACATACCAAGTGATGCTGATGTAATAAAATTATAGCATTTGGGTTTATCTCGTAAAAAACTTGCAATATTGGTAGTTTGGCATTGCTGCACCCATGGGCTCCTTGACAGTATCTCAAAATTTTACATATTCTGAAATGTACCATGAAGTAATGGGAGAAAAATACAGCATGTACATGTACCTTACAAAGTCACTGCAGCAACTGGCTCAACTGGCATTTCAATTCATACATATCAAGCTATGTACTAACAAAACCTTGCTACAAAAGTTCACATTACCTGCTTCACCAACCCATGCAAGTCCTAACACACCATCTGCAAAATCTCTGTAAGTAAAAATGTATGACAGGCACACATCATCATGTATCTCCTCAGAGTTCAGCTCAAGGAGCTTTTCCACTCCAATGTTGCTGTCTCTGTAAGGGTTCCTTCCATCATTGGCTTCAGCAGTTCCATTGGCCAACATTCTCTGGATTTGAAACTGAATGCCTGATAGGAAAAAAAAATTCATTGCAATTTATACCAAGCCTACTATAAGCACAACGTCTTTTTAAATATTTGGTAATGACTATATAACAAGGTGATCAACCACAAGCTTACCAGCCTCAACTGGTCAGTGGTCATTTTCATACGTGCATGCTCTTGTACAGCACAATAACTACTTAACAGCTGGATCTTTGAGTTCTATGATGTAAGCAGCTTTGAAAGTCTTTTTTAAATTTTCTTTAATAAGAAATTACCTTTGCTCCCTCAATTGTCCAACACTATGTTATGCCTTGAGAGAGGTCCCTTATACCTCCAAAAACCATCACAAGCCATCTTACTTATTTAGGTAGTAGAGTACAAGTATGTCAAGTAGTTTTATATGAGGGGTTTTTCCCGTATCATTTCATCTCATTTTGTTGTCTTTTTTCTATTGTGTGTGTTTTATGTCCAGGTGAACAAAATGTTGCGTTTTTTTTTTTATCTTATTTTTTTTTTACAATCTCATGATTCCAAGTCACCAAAAAGTGATTTTGAACAACATTGAGCTTGCAGCCTTGCACTCACAATGATCCACTTCAGTCGTCTTATTACCATAATCGAACTGTAGAATGGACAACAAGTGAGTATTAATTATGTAAAAGGATAAACGGGAGATTACATTACCATCAGCTTTATCATTTCCACTAAAGTCTGTATTTTTGAAAATAGAATTTGCAGCCTTGACATGATCAGCCATCAGTAACATTGCTCTCTCCTTATTCCCATCAGCCATATTTGCTGTGAACAAATGATCAGCCTGCAAAGCAAGGCAAACATTTTTTAATGAAAGCTGCAAAGACAAATTTTTCTCTTTGTTTGAATAGGAAAGGATGCTGATTTTGATTTTGATTCTCGAAAGTTTCAACAGGTAAAGGCAAATACAATGAATATATGAAGTTCATATATTTGAACTGCGGTATTAAATAGGTATGATGCACGATCCTTCGCAGTAGATAGCGCTATTTATGCAATAGCGAAAATCAGACCTGAAAAAAATCAGGCCTGTATT